CTGCAGTGAGTTGTGTTGCAGTACACTGTTGTGGTTGCAGTGAGTTGTTGCTGCAGTGAGTTGTGGCTGCAGTGAGTTGTGTTGCAGTACACTGTTGTGGTTGCAGTGAGTTGTTGCTGCAGTGAGTTGTGGCTGCAGTGAGTTGTGTTGCAGTACACTGTTGTGGTTGCAGTGAGTTGTTGCTGCAGTGAGTTGTGTTGCAGTACACTGTTGTGGTTGCAGTGAGTTGTGGCTGCAGTGACACAGTGTTGCAACAAGATGTCACGCTCACCTTCTAAATGATTTGTTCACACGTTTCTCAGACTGAACATCTCTACAACTCATATGATGAATTCTGGTCCTTCTACCTCCAGGTCTCAAACTTCTGTTTTTGGGTATTTTTGATTTAAGATTTTTGAAAGCCACAGATTTTTTAATTTGTTTATTTTTTTGTCATGCATGGCAGATTGTATCAGCTGTCTTGTTACATTAAAATGTTTTAAACAGAAAGTACACTGAAAGATTTACACAATAAAAAAAGACAAACTTACATCATTTTGGTGGTTTAAAGGAGGCGTGTCAGGTGGACTGGGGTTAGGCATTCTTTGGATTATACTGACAGGGCCTGGAATTAATCCTGATTCATCTTTGTCAAAAGGACTAAACAGAAAAATAATGGGTAATGGAATAACAAAGAAAACAAAATCAACAATTAGCATTCATTTAACAATGGACTAAAACAATTTCTGCAGTTCTTTTCAGTTAAAACTCAACAGTCTGCCAAACTTACTTCCAGGTGACTTCAAGGTTTAGTTTAATAGTTCCAAGATCATTAATATCCACAGCAACCATCTGTGGCAGCGGGACAAACAGGTCCTTAGTTTCACAGGAAACATTTCCAACAACCACGTGATTGGCCAAGCCCTTCAGCTCCGTCACCTTGGGAACCGCAGACAAGGTCATTTTAAGTTAAACAATATTGAGCACAACTATCGTCATCATTAAGTGTTTCAGGTCGGAATGCTTCTAGTCAGCAGAAGTCAAGCTAGTCGTGTGGAACTGGTTCTTTTATCTGGACACTAACCTTCACAGAGAGAAACTCATTAATGAGTGGCAGAAACACCATCTCCTCGCTGTCCCACACCTGTTTGGAGTTGATTTCTATCCTTCCTCGGAGTTTCCACCGCTGTCGACCGTACTTCATAAAAATCTAAACACAGACACAGAAATTTGACTTGGTGCAGTGGGGTGGTGACCCATCACATCAAACCAAGGATTCAGTCCCAAAGTATAAAACAGGCAGATTGAGTCGAAATGTTTGTAATAACTGCATCTTAGATTGAATCATCAATCTTATCAATAGATAAATTTTTGAAGCACTTTTTTGAGAACTAGCCAAAAGAATCAATGATTTTGAGCAAAAATGCCTTGAAATTTTGAATATGGGCAGATTTTTTCTTTCCAGCTGGGAAATCTCAACATACAAATAACTGAGGTTTCCTCTTTATAACGATGTCAAAAAATATTCATCACTAGAATAAACTAAAAACAGGATTTAGACCAAATATCAATACGTTATCTTGATTAGCAAGACAAAACAGCACATATCTCATGCTCTCAGTAGGAATCTGAAAATGTGCATTTTGACAAAATTTGATGTGATGGGTCACAAAAATGTGCTGATAACTAAAAGTTACCATAAAAAGGCTTAGAGGTGACATGTTAACTTTGTTACAGAACATAAACCTTTTCTTTCATCCCTTCATACTTGGAATAAAAAATAGATAGTTTAGCATTCCTTGAAGAAATTCTTATCACCCACATTTTCATGCCACAGTTTTAAATAAAGACCATCAAACGTTGAGGGGCGAGAAAGCTAGAGTGGTTTTGGTCTGACTTTGAATATATACTGTATGTATGTGATATTGTGAGATCCTGCTATAATAACACAAAAACTCAGCTCAACATCTGTAAAACTGACTCAGAGTCAGACACACCTCGTACTGATCACCAGCACACAGTCTGGCAAATCCAGCAAGACCTGAGAAAGAGAGGAAAAACAAATCACAATGATGCCACAGGGATGGGATCCACGATTAGTTGTAACATTAGACTTTATTTGACAAACATATATTTTAACTGTAAAATAAAGACTGTAAAAATACTGTAGGCTGTTTAGTTC